CTAGAAGACTGGATGGAGAGAAAGCACCATTTATTTAGTGCCCTCTGTATCCCAGGCACCATGCTGAGTGATCTGCATGTGCTATTTCACTTTACTCCACACAGTAATTCTATGACAGATTAGTAAACTGAGGCATGAGAGTCTCAAACATTTGCCCAGAAGAATAAGAATTTGAACCCAGGGCTTCAATAGCTAGAGTTCTGCTTAACCACACCTCCATTCAGCATGGCAAGGCCTTGTTGAGAATCAGGTGTTTCCCACAGTTTTTCTAAAAGTAATTGTTTAACCCCTCAAAACACCAAAAGTTGACATAGGTCCATCGTTTAAGGCAGAAATATGACTCAATGATATTACACATATCCTGCCTTCTCAAATCGTGCTTAATGTTAATATAAGAATGTTAACTAATATTATTGATCGTTTATTAACGTGCCAAACAGTCTTCTAAGCTTTTTATATGTATTATGTCATTTATTACCAGAAAAACATTTGCTATTTCAAGGTCATTGTGATGAAGATGAGCCGTTGTATTTCAAAGACCTGAATTCTAACTCCAGCGCTGATATCCAGTTTTCCTAGGGCAAGAAAAATGGCTAGAATGGTACATCCCTTGCTTATCACAAAGGGTTGCAGGAGCACCGGGGTGATCGTGCATGTAGTAAAAGTCCTTTGTACATGGTAGAGTGCCAGACAAGCTTGGAGATACTGTTTTATTTTCCCGGGAAGAGGCCACAGAAGTGAGCCCCCATTATAAGGAAGGAAACTGACATTCCCATTAGCATGTCCCTCTTCTCCAAGTGAGATTCCTGGGTCCCCTATCAGTTAACAATGCAACTTCCTAGACCCTCCAGACTCCTGTGACCAAATAAAAAGTGTTACCCTGCCAATTCTGCTCAATTTTGCTCCCCAAAGGTATGGAAAGAGTGGCTCTTGCCAATCTCACATGATATTAAGTTGACATTCAGTAATACAATAAAAGGCAAAATGTAAAAAGCCACAGTATAAGATGGAAAGTAGAGAATATTTCATTCCTAGTGTCTACAGATTAAACGAAAAAGACGTATCTTCATTATTAGAAGAGATCAGTACCCCAGCCATGGGGCTACGATTTGCTAACACATTAGAAAAATATTTTTCTGTCCCATTTCAGGTGACACAGAAGGAGATGCAGGGGAGAGGAATGTTAAGTGTTGGGGTCCAGGCTGCCGTAGCAGCCGCAAATTGACGACTCTGGTCAATTCTACCCTGCGCAAATTTACCCAGTGATAAATCCACAAAGCCCTGTTAACACATTTCAGTTAAAGCCTTAAGAACAGGGGTCATTTCATGGTATTAATAGCAGTTCTGGGGATTCTGACAGCAGTGACATTTTAGAGAAAGAAATGCCAGGGCACACAGCAAAGAGATCAACATTTGATACCGGGCGTTGTTGGCAACATGTAAGTGCTAACAATTCCATTTTTGTTTTCCTTCAGCCATACGCATTTTTTGGGATTGGTTAGTGTCTCTTTATCATTGGATCTACCTGGTTTTTGCCTGTTAATAACTTTCTCATCGTTGTGAGGTCCACGCCAGGGCTATTTAAATACTTGAAACGAGGAACAATTAAACCCTCCGCTGAAACATTAGTCTCGTGGAAGATATAGGGTTACTTCCTCAGTAACATAGTCGGCCACACAGTCAGATGAAGAGTGTCTCTGTAGAGGCTTCCGGATGTGGTTGTAGTAAACATGGGCTGTGGAGGCAGCTGAGGGAGGACGAGGAGATGGACTCGAAATCTTGAAATGGTGGATTTGGAAGAGCGGACCTTGGGAAAGTGCATTGCCGGTGTTTGGAAGACGTCAACCACCCCCGCTGCTGTTCGGAGACCTTGAGGATGACCTGCACACACTAGCATGCCCGGATGGTTCAAAAAGGCGTGGTATGGGCTGGCGTCTGTGCTTAGCTTCTCCTCCTTCATCCTGATCATCATTGCCCTGGCGGTGCCCCACTGGCTGAGTGGGAAAATCCTTTGTCAGACGGGAGTAGATCTGGTCAATGCCACGGACCTGGAGCTGGTCAAATTCATTGGGGACATTTACTACGGGCTCTTCCGAGGGTGTAAGGTTCGGCAGTGCGGGCTCGGGGGCCGCCAGTCCCAATTCACAAGTGAGTATGTTGGGGGCATAAAGGGTGGTTTAGATCTTTTTTTTTTTTTTTTAATTTGTGAAGGGTGCTTATGTCCAAATGTGGAATTTGCTGCCTCAAACTCAGGCATGTCAAAGCCAAGGGTTCTTGTTCGGCACCAAAAAGGGACCAGTCTTCCTTTCTTTCTCCCTTTTCCTGTAGAGGTGTATAGAAACATTAGAAATAGGGATCTGTATATTTTTGTAGTTTACCTCTATTAATAATGACTATTAAAATACTGAGTACTTACATGTGTCAGGCATTCCACTAAGTGCTTCCTACCGCTTGTCTCTTTTAAGCCTTACAACATTCCCTATAAAGAAGGAACGATTAATGTTCCCGTTTTGCAGAGGAGTACACTGAGGCTCAGAGAGGTTACATAACTTGCCCAAGGTCACCCAGCCAGGGAAGAGCAGAGCCAGACCCCAGACCCCAGGCCTCATGACTTGGATATTTTCAACAACAACAAAAGGCAGATGGAGACTGCCTGCAGAAATAACAACCTTCACGATGCATGATAACTGCTTCCAGGTCTATTTATATAAAAGCCTTGTAGTTTGAGATAAAGCAAAGAGGCACTGGAATCAGACTGCTCAGTTTGAAGCCCAGCTGTGATGTTCCCAGGTGAGGAGATCTCAGGCACGGCACTTGACCGTCCTCCGTGAACATGATCAGGCACGGACTTTGGCCCACATTCGGTGTCGCTGTGGAGCTACTCAGGATGTAAACAGAGCGGTCTGCGCAAACACCAGTGAGGCAGGAATCCAAGCCAGGCTTAGGAAGGGTCTCCCAGGAAGAAAAAACAAAACAAAAAAGACAATATTCTGCAAACCTTTAGAATCAAACAGTTAGATCACTGGTGAGAACAGTGTCCTACAAAGCTATAATTAAACACCATGCCAGTGAAAGGGGATAAGGAATTTTATTCATTACCTGATTTCTGTATTTCAGAATTGTAGTAGTTTTTAGAA